AACTTCCTTTTAAACAAAGAGAATTTTTGAAGCAAAGCTGACAAAAACTCACAAAAGCTTTCACTTGATTTTTATCCACTTCTTTGTCATGGAAAAAGTTTCAAATGAAAAATGCCTTTCTCACAGTATGTATCTTAATAGATGTAGTATATAAATAGTTGGGACAAAGAGCACAAACTGAATTTATTCATGGTCCAAATCCCATTTTTCTGTAAGACAGACAATATTTCCTCTCCTATGACTGTTCACCTCAGTCATTAATTGTAACTCTGAAGGCTTCACAAACACATTCTGAGAATCTAAGTACAATACTGATTAATCTATCATGTCAGTAACGCTGCATCTCCAGAGTATTTCAGGTTAATTGTGTTATACCTTGCATATATTGATACTATCTGTCCTTATTCATACCATACTTTCTCAGGTAACGTGTGACCACATCTTTTAAAATAGTTTTCCAACCTTTCCCATCACAGTATTAATCTTATTGGTTTACATTTTCCCTATAATATTTTTTCCTAATCACATTAAAGAGAATGAAATAAAAAATATCTACCACAGCCTACCCTGAGTTTAATTTCTTTTTGGTTTTGTGTGTTTACTATATCCTAGGTAGGATTGTCACTCATCTTGTGCTGGAATTACAGAGTGTTTTTCCCCAGCTTCCCCCCGAAGAGGGTTAGGACAATGATCAAAATGCTGCCACATCTGCCTTATTCCTTATTTTAAACTTGAGGATGCTTGTTATCAGAACGATCTTCACCACTTCACCTACTTCAGCAAATTAATTAGTAATTCCTTGCCCTGCTTGAGATAATAGAAGTGATCCCAGTTTAGCTTAAGTACCCAGTGCCCTGTAGGCTGTCTGTCTGTTCTGGAACTCCAAAGCTGTAAGATCTGAACTGCTCTGCTGGCCTTATGCCCCATACAAACTTCTTGTTCTCAATTTCAAAAATCAGCCATAACCATAAAAACCAGCACGCTGGTTTTGTGCTCACAAAATACTTTGATTTTAAAACAGATGACACAAATAAGGAAGACACAGAAACTGCTGACTCTTTTCCATCAGGCATACAAAATACTCTGTTTTGTTATAGTTTGAAGTCTTGCATTTTAACAATGAAAGATGAAAACATGGCATAATTTATGCTTAAAACAATATTTAAAAATGGTTGAAGTCTATTGATGGAAGTCTATCCTTCTTGTCTTCATTTGTAGAGCAAATACTACTTGTGCCATGCAGGAGAATAACAGTTTCCAATGCTACCAGCATTGCCAGATAGAGCAATTTAACAGGATTTCTCAGCTCTTTGGGGCAATATCTTGGTCTAACTTCACTTTGTACCTCACCATAGAAAAGCTGGAAACTCAAAGCAGCAACAGCACAGTGCCTATGGATGATTCCATGTATATGTGTGTGCATATATGTACACTTTTCTGACTAATGACTTGAGAGAAAAGGGTGGGAAGAGAAGAGCAGAGATCGGAACAGGAATCACTGACAGAATTACCTAAGGCAATGAAAACCCAAGCACAGAAGCGCGCATGGTGATTGAACACTGTGTGAGTAAGCTGCCGCCTTTTTCCGTTTGGCATGGAGATGGATACGGATCATGCCAAGAAAACGGGAAAAAAATGAGGATTATAGTAATTCTCAGAGCTATCTGTCCTTTTATCTGTCAACAGGAGAAGGAAGTGGCAGTAGACTTTTAGGCAGGATATCTATTTCGTCTTGAACCAGATCTTCCCAGCAGAGACTGCACAGGAGACCACTTCCATAACAGAAGACAAGTGATTGTTATGAAAACTAATTGCTGCATCTCTGGATGACTAAATCATATTAACATCCCTTTCCTGAAGCACAGGGATGCATAGGTATCATACACACAACCTTTATATCTAGGCTGCTACAGAACGGGTGGAGTTTTATAATAATCTACCCTGGAATTTAAAATATTTGCACTGGAACTGTTAAGCATCTGGTAGCAATGCAGATTGCACATTTTTTCAAATGTTTCTCATATTAACAATGGTTATTTGGGGAGGTTAAATGATTACTTTAAATAAATGTGTTCCTAACCTAACACTAAAGCTGTGATTCAGATGATCAAGTAGCAATTTTCCAAATCAGAATTTGTTATGAGCTTGATTTCATTATTAGGTTTACATCATCTTTAAGTAAACAGAATAATAAAGAGGGCAAGCACACACTGAAGTACCATAATCAAACTCGTAATTTCCTCTTCCATTTCTAGAATGAAGAAGGTTAAGAGCAAGCTACCTCATAGCTCTGTTCTGAAACACCCCATACAAGCACCCTCCCCAACATGGTAGTGAGGACTATGATCTAAAATTTTTTAATTCAAAGCAGTAATTCCAAACTTTCTTTGCCACCATTCTGCTGAAAATACACTTGAAACCTATCCTTACACATCTGTCCCAAATTTTGTCACTGGGGAGGATCTGAGTGGTTAATGACTTCCTGGGTAAGATGAAAGCTCAGTAACAAAAGAACTGGTTTCTACCATACTCAAAAACTGAATCCCAGAATAATTAAATCACAACTATATCCTTGCTATAATGTTCTAGTTGTTATAACACAGGTAAGTTATCCATGCACACTGCATCTTAATGTACATGGGCATTTATTGCTCACGCATATTCAGTATACAAAGAGGGGGGTGGGTGCATGCAAAAGAACATGCAGAATTAGACTCTTCCCTCCTTCCAGTTTTTCCTCCTTCCACTATTCACAGCTTTTGCATGTTTCTGGTTATTTAGTAGATAAGACATTCTTAGTGGCATCTCAACGCTGGGACAAGAAGGAAGTTTTTAATGACACAACCCTCCTACTACTTTTATTACAGCTACTTTAATGCAGTAGCTGCCAATATTGAAAAACTTTGATCCAATTAACTATTTTTCAAATATAACATATACATAGGCCTCTCCATTCCTGTGGTGCTCTTCATTTTTATAACTGTGATGTTTCACAATATCTTGCTGAGCTAAAATAGATCTCAGGTAAAATTCTCAGAAGTGTCTATGGTGCCACTGACTTCAATAAGATGTATGTTCTTTAGTACCATGAGTGCTTTTGAAAATACTGCCTCTCAACTTTCTTTTGAATATGATCCTTATTTGAAATAGATTCCAGGAAATTATATCCCAGCATTTTTCCAAGTTTATCTAACATTGACAACCCTTAAAAAAATCCTTGCCAGATGTCTTAGGATTTCAGGTCAATCCCTTAGTGGCTCCACTCTAGAGAGGGCCTACATTGAAGCAGCTCTCAGAAGGTCAGACCTCATTCCAGTGAAATTTCTGCACAGTGGTCATGGATTTTGCTCTGAAGCAGAGCAGACTTCAGGGAGGTTCCCAAAGTCTCTTGCAAAGACAATAGAAGGAGGTCAGGATCACCTCACCAAGCATGATGATAAAAGGCCTTTTGCTGCTTCATGGAAATTTCAGAAGACAAGTAAAGTATAATTACTGATTTTCCCCATCCCTATAGTGTTTCTGGCCATAGAATACTCTCAATTATTCTTTTTTTTTCCCCATCTGTTGCTACAGCATGGGTATAAGAAAGTAATTTGGAAAAAAAGAAAAACAAAACACTTATGAGCAAGCAATAACTTTTGATCTCCAATTCATAATTAATGAACCCAATGTTTGTTTTAAAATGAAAAAACAAGGCTAGACAGAAGATTGCATTAATATTATGGTTTTGATAGACTTGGGGTATAGTAAAACAACAAGAAAAACATTCCTTAGTACACTAATGAAAAAGAAAACACTGTAAGAAGAAAGTAACACTGTTGACCGCAGTGGGTGGTTCTGGTCTCAGATTGCAAAGAAACGGGCAAATGATGACTAGGCACCTGATGTTAGATGCGGCTTTGGAAAGCAAATGTTTAAATTCTCTTCAGCAACACAATACTTGCCTTGAAAAATGTAGGCTCTCAGTTTTTCTGGCACCTGGGAGAAGTTGCTTTGTTCACATTTTTAAATTAAGATTGTACAATACCAGCCAGCCATTTTTGTCCGTGCGTTTCAATATTAAGGAAGGGTATAGACAACCTCTGAATTTTATTTAAGGCCTTCTTCCTTTGTTTATTTACTCAAGTCAGTAAATAAAAAGAAAAAAAAAAAAATCACCTCGGTCCACAATGCAAGAGTGCCTTTACAGAAATAAGGAGCCTAGGAAGATTGAATACCTCTAATTTTGAAAATGATCACTGCTGAATGTTTTCTGGGGGTAAAAGTGTAATTTGTTATAGATCAATAAGTAATTTCATTCAAAAGGAACTCTTCTGTTCCTGAAAGTAGAGAGATTCTTAAATCAAAATCAAACTAATACATTAACAAAGTTGAGACTAATCTAAACAACAAAATTTTATACTGACCTAGTTATGTTTATCTCAACTGATCGTTTATTTATGTTGCCATAAAAACCCAGATGCTTTCAATTTTGATTGCTAGTTATTTGCTTTAAGGCAGCTGAAATTACTTTTTTAGACTTCCTAGCTTGACAATCTTGCTTTCTGCTTAAGATTTATCACCACAAAGGAATGGTGAAATCAGAGGATAAATTCTAGTATTAACAATAAGTACAGTCAACTGTGATACACTGTAATTCCCCCAGCAGATTCCAGATTAAATCCTCCAGGATTAATGTACCTTCCTCTGACATTGCTAAATCCTGTTTTATGTAATTAGATCACAGTAAACTGCTATATCTGCACAGGTATCACGGTATGTTTTTTAATTGAAAAGCCATATAAAGTAGCACTGTATAAAGTAAAAGGCATTTTGAGAGTATCTGAGACCCTGTACAGTACTGGATGCTATAAACCATTATCATTTAGCTCACTATTGAGCCTAACAGGTCCATTAACACACTGCTGTATTTACATTAAAATAAAATAAATTTTAAACCCCACAAATATTAGAACAATCAAGACCAGAAGAAATATCATGCATTTGTTGATAATACTTACGATATGCAGCTCTAAATAATCTCCGAGCCCAGTAGAACTGTCCACTCGTACCAACACAGCTTCTTTTTGAACCGTACTAAACCCTATTGCCAGTCTGTCCGCACGAGTGCTTGGCCGATCATTAGGAGGCCATGTGTAAGTGATTTGTCCACCACCTTTGCTAAAGATATACGTTGTTCCCGCTGTAAAACAGAAATAAAGATAATTAGCTCACTTGCACCAATGCAAACCCACATGGAAATCACATGCTCTACAAAAATCAAGATGTTCTCATGTAGCAAATGGATTCATAGAAACAAACAAGACTCCATTTCAACGTGAAGGGGTCTTTATCTCTGGAAATTTTGCAGCAAACAAAATATTAGTGCTTTTTATATAGTGCAATCAACACAGAATATAACATAATTGCATATGCAGTGACTTAAAATATCATAGCTCTGATTCAGAAATGCATATCAATTCAAGACAGTTCTTAAGCATATGCTTGAAGAACATGTTTCTGTGATGTGCAGAACAGGGATGAGCTGAACCAAATGCTTTCCCAAAACTGGGCCTATGAGGAGAAGAAATCAAGTAATTCCAGTTATCTCGTGACTGACAAAAGAATGCAGTTCCTTAATTACACAAAGTGATAGGCACTATATGATACGTCACCATGCCCAGCGAAGCAAGACGTTAACAAATACATTCAGATAAGAATTTAGGGATCTGAGGTTTATCAGCTTGTGACAGATGGGGATAACAAATGGAAACATACTTTACTTGTCACGTCAGGACAAAAAGATATCAGTCTACCATCTAAGCAAGCAATGGCTTATTTGCATAATGCTCAATGTATAACTTGTCAGAGCGGAAATCTTTGCACATTGTATCCAGTGCGCACTTACAAAATCTATGATCTGTTTGAAACAAGTGTTGTAATCTAAAACCACTTAGCACTCAGGTGCTTAACTTCATCACCAGCATATTTCCTCTGAACTAAAATGGCAGCATATCCAGATATTTTCCATTTAAAATTTGTGTCCTAACAACAGCATATAGCAGGCAAATTGTGCATGCACTTGATCTTTCATTTGTAAAGTCACTACAAGCTGTCCTCTTCTTTTCTATGAAGATAGGTCAAAGCTTAGGGAGCTATGTCAGCGCTTTGTAAATACAGATGTCTGGTTTTACTACCTGTTCTAAACTGGCTCACTCTGTGGCTACTCTCAATTTTCTTAAATGTAATGCAGTTTATTCCACCCAATACTATCACTGGATACTTCCCATGTCCACGTAAGGAGACAGCACCTAACAACATAATTGTCATTTTCTTACTTTCTTTCAGGATTGGCCAAAAGTTCTGTGAGCATACAAAAGGATCTAAAATCCCTTGAACATGTAGACTTTTAAAGCCCAAACCAAGAAGAGCTACATAGTTACACCACTCCTTCAACTTCCAGATGTCTCAAAATCTTACTCTGCTGCTGAGTGAGACTGCTTTGTGTCAGTCTCAAAGCAAAAAGGTCACCTGGCCTTTTTGAAAGATATCCTGTATTTATTATCATTTTTCCTTTATGGAATTAAGTACCTACTCATTAGTTTTTTCCAGTACCATCAATTTGTAATATTTACGTGCTGTGCATAGCACTTGAAAAACTGCAAAGCTCATTTTATATCAATTGAACACTTGCAGGATTGCACTGTGCTTCAAATAGATCTCTTGGCTTTTCTCTTGATGGCAAAATACCAACCTGCATGTGTTTTAGGAAAACTTGTCAACTCTCTTTAGCAAAGACAAACACAATAACAGATCTGATATCTAAGGTTTCACTTACACTCCAAGTGAAATCAGGGTTTATTGCCATTGTAAAGAGTTATGCTAGAGTAGTGAAGACAGGGGCTGAGCCTTACAAAAGCTTGGTATTGGACACGGGCAAATGGTGTCTGGTTTAGGAATGTGTGTGACAAAAACCTAATCTCCTGCTCTCCCACCCTTGCTACCCTCCTGTGTGGTGCTGTGAAATGCACAATAGACTGTTGCATATTATTCAGTAATGATGGTTTAATCTCCAGCTCTAGTACATCCCAAAACAAAGATCCGTGAGACATCACTCTTGATGGTCCCCAAGTTCTCCTCTTTGCTGCTAGTGTTGACTTCAAACCTTGAGCCAACTGAGTAGTGACAGAATTTGGACCTTCATATGGTATATGTTACATTGGTGTCTGTAGTGAAAGGATTTATTCTGTATTGATGAAAAACTGAGGGCTTGATCCAAAGCTCGTTAAAAACAGTGACAGCCTTTCTGTTGACTTCATAAAATGTTGTATCAGGTCATGAATGAGGTTCTTATAAGTAACAAAAATGAGAAGGCTAAGAAAAAACAACTCCTTACACCTCAATGTCACAGATGAAACTGTTAGAATAGTACATAAGATTTAAGTGGGAGTGCATAATTCTCCTTTTCTTGGTTGTAACAGATGTGTTTACCCAATACAGAAGACAAAGAAAAATCCTGCCAAGTGATGGTAGAGTCATACTGAATACAGTGTCCCAGAAGTAAGTTTCCAAATCTGAACAATGAGAGACTCTGTTGTTCTTGTTCAGAGTGAATCTCTGTCACAGTTTTTTGCTAAATACTGCCCTTCAAATAAAGCAATGAAGAGCAATTCATTCCATACTACTGCTGCACTGAAGCCAAGGTCAATGTCAGTAGGGCTGGATAAACCTAGCTGTACATCTTAAACTATGTAGAATCAACATCGAAGTTAAAAAACTTATCTTTTATCCATGATAACATGTGGTGTATGGTTTTTCTATGGCAAAGCTTTCCCTTCTTTACAGCTGTCCATTTTGTAGCTCTTCGAACTAACTGCATGTCTCATAACAGGCTAATTAATCCACGCTGCTGAATGCAGATCTGCCTCTGTCTAAGCTGTACAGGGAGTCACGTTCTTTGAATTTCCTGTATTAATTATGAAAAAAATGGGTCGGAAGCCATTTGAGACTAGGTCCTCTAGTGTTTATATTTCAAGAAAGACAAATATAATAATGTAAAATTTATTACTCTGGGATTGATCTCAGCTTATAGTCCGACCTCCCATTAACTATTAAAAGCTAGAAACTGAGCAGTTGTTCGAAGCCAGCCTGCTTATTACCAGTTTGGGATCTGTTAAGAAACAGCAGAAGAAGCCTAATTCACTTGCTCCAAAAAGGCTTTTATGCTCCCTGACAAACCTCATAATGTCTCTGCCATTCTTTCAGAACATTGTCACTAAAACCCAGTCATCTTCCTCCTCTCTTTTAGCTTATGGCACTGTGTTGTTTGGGGTTTATCATCTCAAGAGAACTGAAAGCAGCAGAATTAGAATATCAAGAATAGAGATGCTATCAGCACAGCACTTGTAGGTAGGCAAGTTTATAACATGCCAGTTATATCTCGCAGCCATAGAATTTACTGCGTAATACTTTATGTGTCCGTACATCTACACAATGTTTAGGAAAATGTCCATACAGCTCTTCGAAATTCTTAACTGCTAAAGCATGGTTCCTATTGTAACAAACTGCCAGTGGTCAAGATACAGTAATGTTTTTTAATGGCCTGGGTCTCTCAAGTCCTACTTGTTTGCAAAATTCATCTTTATGAAATAGTGCATTCATTTCAGCACAGCCTGGCAGCAACTCAAGGACATCTGCTTACCTATACAGTATTAAGCAGATAAATATTTTGTTTAGTACCCATTTACTGTATCTGTTACTGTGTATGACTGCAAAGTATTTCAATATTTATTGCTCTGAAGTCACATCTGATGTAGTTTAATAGTTTGCTCAAATCAACAACAAATCAACAGCTTTCTACCTTCCTCGTGTTCATCCCAATTTTGTGTTTAAGGTATATTGCACTGAAAGGTAATGTACACAATTCCATTTTTCCCATATAACGTTAGTAACTTAATGTTTGTTTTCAACATTCACATCAGGTTTCAGATTCCAATTAAGTGAAAGCAATTCTTTGATTGAGCTCTGGGCCCCAATGAACTATGATTTCACCACACTCTACAGCTGAAAAACTAAGGACTGAGCTTGAAAACTTCAATAATAAAAACTATTAGTTGCCCTTTCATTAATAATAAATCAATTTTTAACTATTATAAAAAATATGAAGGGTAAGCATTGCTGGTTATAACAAGAAATTACCCAATAATGTAATTTTCTTCCTTCTGTATGTTATCAGTGCTTTACTTCATTCTGGGCTAGAATGTGAACCCTCTTATTCCCATTGGTAAGTAATTACTTGCAATGATAAACCTGCTGAATCCAGTGAGTCTATTTGTGCAGGCTGCTATTAATTACCAAGAGTGAAGAATTTACAATATGAATCTATCTATATACATCTACTTTTGCACAAATATCTATATGGCGGCATTAATCATAGTTGCTATGTTCAGGGGAGCATATAAATCTCCATTAATTCTTCTTTTTACATTTTCATCTATGTATTTTCACCCTGCTCAAGCTGAGTTCCAGAAAAGTACACAAAATTTCCATATGTAGATTTGTACAGATTTTCTAAGGTAAGTAAAGAAAAGAATGCTTCTGGTCTGAAACATGATATGCCGGGGGAAGGTGGGGGAGGTGTTTCGAAATAATCAGTTTGGTGGATTAAAAAACAGCTTTTCTGTGTGTTTCTTCTTAGACTGTGATGTGTTATTAATTATTTACACAGAACAGAGAATATGTGCCACAGGGTTGAGGTGAGGAGGGAATGGCCATTAGGGTTAACCACGGGAAGATGATGGGATAAGCTGCTGGAAGAAGTATTTCAGACCAAAGATCAGATTCAGCTGAACACTTCCTGAAGGCATCCTGTTACACTCTCTCCCACTAATCCGGGCAGCAGCCTGAATATGGATTGTAACTGTTTTGCTGCAACAGTGACAGCAGGCTTCTCTAAGTACAGTCTGTTTAACAGCAGAAGAGGTTTATTGGATGGGGAAAGAGATTTTCAAATGGATTGTTGCCTGTAGCTCTCCAAAAAACTTGAGCCATAGGGGTAAGAATGGAAAAATATCTCATTCTCTGGCCAGGTTCCTCTTAGACTTGTGGGTAATAGGGCCTAGGAGTATATTTATGATGTTCCTTTGACCACACTCAGCCTGGCAAACCTTAAAGGGCCCTAGTTTTCCTGGAAACAGAGCCCCA